CTTAGTTGTTTCGCATATGCACAATGTGGAAACCATCTTATGTGTTCAATTACTGGATTAGCATTTTTGCCCCAATTCTTTAATGATTCATTACAATAGAAACATGTGACAATATTTTCAATGCCAGTATAAAAGAAACCGGCTTTACCAAATCATTGACAGCAGGTGATGACTCATTGATCCATATTTAAAATGTTGCCTGTCGACTTGGAATACTAATATAAGCAATATGACATGGTGATGTATAGACAATTTGTTCGAATCGAACTTGATTGTTATTATTTAATACAGTTGCTTGATGATCAATATTATCTATGACAATTTCATTGACAATCAAAACTGATGAAGGTTCTGTTCGTGTTAACATAAATTGAACATAAGAACACATTGGTGACAATGTTTTGTGAATTTCCACCGGATCATCTATGTTTTCTTGCCATTGTTGATAAATAAGATTACAATATAAACAAATAACACGATCTCCAACATTACAATGAAAAAATCCACCAATGATCATTTGTTCTTTCGTTGGCATTGTTTCATGTGGTCAATTTGAAAATGTTTGTTGACGTACTTGCTTAAGAATATCTAGTTCAGATAATTTGCTTTGTCGATTCCATCGATCGATATTGTATTCTGCCTTCATTTGTTTAGCCGAATTTTTTCCATGATTGACCATCAATGTAGTTTTTGATTGTACAAAACGAACAAATGTACAATTCGGATTACGTTCGAGATGAATATTAAATGGGTCCATCCGGATACTTCGAGACCACATGAATCACATCGAGCTGTATCACCTACTCCTGTATATCGGAAGCCACCAGTTTTCATTCGATTAGTTGAATGTATACCATATGCTTTCAGTTCATCACATACTTTTACTATATGATGATACAGATCACTTTTTATTTGAAAAAGTGATTGGTTAACATCTTTATTTTGTATAAAATGATATCTCGCAGGCAGTTGTATCTCCATCTAGATCACAATAATATATAAGTAGATATTTGACAAAAGAATATTCGAGTCAAATACGATGATCTACAATGACAGCGAAATGCGCAGTCAATTCAATCAGAGTTGCTAAAAGTTTGTATACATAAGAAAAATGGTACTAATTCTATTGGTAATCAAAATTATGCAAGTACTATTTTCATATAATATTTGTTATTGGAAAGTTGACACTAACACAATCGAAGCGGTTCACAACTAATATATAAAATTAGCTCTTCTACTGAACTATATGAGCTATTCATTTTTAAAA